TTAGGGTTCAGGGTTTAAAAGGTTTTGTGGTAAGGTTCAGGGAGGTTCAGGTGTCTATGAGAAAGAAGAGCATACATTGAATGTGCACATACAGATAGGGTCGACAGGAAGGTAAGCAGGCAGGCAGGTAGGTTGGTAGATAAATAGATAAGTAGATGGATAGACAAGCAGATAGATAGACGGGTAGACAATACACAGACAAATAAGGACACATAGATACATTGATAGGTGTGTACTGCGACATGGAATCAGTTTTTCGCCTCGTCCATAGTTGATTATATAATGGCCCAGGAGAGCCCGAAACCCGAAACCCTAAACCCTAAGCCTGAAATCTCGGATGTTGAGAGCCTCTTCAGCATGAGAATGAGACATGGCTGTGACTGTCGAACCGATGACGACTGCTCCTTTTCTTGATGCAGGCAGGCAGCTGCAAAGAAGTGGGAAGCATGCAATTTGCTTGAACGACAAGTGTGCGCTCCTGGAACTGCTCAGGCAGGCAAAATCTGAAGTAGGCTTGCATCAGATGTCACCAGTCTCCGTATCACATACGGCACATACACTCACCAAAACTCATAAGGAGCCCTATATACACTCACCAACACGGCAATGCAAACCCCTAAGAGCACCCTGCCGGCAAAGCGCGGTTCGAGGTTTGATAGTTGCAATTGCAACATGTCCTGCAACTTCAGACGATGGCAGGGCGGGCTGCGCTTACGTCGACATGCTACCCAAATGATAGAAAGGTCTGGGCTAATGCGAGATGCACTCTGTTCCCAATGTCAGCTTTGCTGACACTCGCGGGTAAAGCAACCGGTTGAAAAAACAAAATGCCTGAATATCCTGTGCATACCTGCACAACAGCAGACCTGTGTGGCCTGGTAACCCCCGAAACCCTGGACCCTAAAACCCTGAACCCTTGGCAAGACGAACGACCTAGATTTGAAAAAAACTGCTAGCCACGGCATCGGCCGTGATTCGCTCAGCCTCGGCCGTCTGCCCTTCAAGTGCCTCCGACAGAAACCGCGGCAGCGAATCTCCCCGCGCGAAGTCTGCGGCTGTCCTCAGGAAATCCGTCTATGCAATGGCGAGAAAGGCTTAGGTAATGCACGGGAGAGCAAATTCACACGAAGTAGGTTCAATCATCGCGAGGGGTGCGTGCTACCACAAAACCCAGAAATTTCGACAACCGAGAGCGCTTCAACACTAAGTGTGGTCATCCGAGTGTCCAGTTGCGATAGTTGCGAAGGTCCAACCGAGCCCCGGCGGATAGGAGCGCTGCTGCGCCCTCGTATTGCCCTGTCATCACTGCCGCCATAAGGGGTGTCTGTCCGTGTCCATGATATCCTGCCGTCGTCCCGATGGTCTTCTTCCCGGATCGATACAAGGCGGCGTTGTATGCGCAGTAAACGCCATTGATGCCGAAGTAGCGGATCTTGTACTGATAATTTACGTCAGCTTGCTCCTCAACGAGCCGATGTACCAACTCAGGTTTGCCGCCACCACAAACCATAGCAAGATACAAGCATCGAGAGATATCAATGCTGCCGGATGTTTGCGAAAGCAGCTCCTCAAAAGCCTCGGTGCTGCCTCGGCCGCAGCCCGCCTCCACAGGCGTAAAGCCAAGCATATCCTCAGGGCTTTGGGTCGGCCTTAAAAAAGGAGTTGTGCTTGCTTTACTGAGCCACATGACAGTGAGAACCCTAAACCCTAAACCCTAAATCCTACACCCTAAACCCTAAACCCTAAATCCTCAACCCTAAACTTCCCTAACTTGGCTACTCCTCGGTCTCTTTCCGGTCCTTCAAATGAGGGCTGCAGCCAGCCTCGCACAAGATGCGAATCCCCTCTGCGTTGTTGGCGATCGCCGCCTGATGGATCGCTGGCTGTATGCCGCCTTCAAGATTCGCCTTCGGGGTCCGTTTTGAGCTTATAATATAGGGAGTTTAGGGAGTTTAGGGTTTAGGGCTCAGGGAGTTTAGGGTTTAGGGTTTGGGGCTTAGGGTTTAGGGCTTAGGGAGTTTAGGGTTTAAGGTTCAGGGGCGGGATTTAGGCCTCCCCTCCCTTCTTGAGCTGTCATGGAAGCCCCCGGATACTAAAGGCCCCCGTTTCTGAAGAGAACCAACAGTTCGGAAGCTATTGTTGAAGGTTCAGGGTGTCGGGTTTAGGGTTGAGGGGTTTAGGGGTTTGGGGTTTAGTGGTTTAGGGGTTGAGGTCTTGGGGTTTAGGGGTTTGGGGGT